TAAAGAGGAACCTTCCCCTTAGGGCGAGTTATACCACTGGCATCCACTAGGGTGTAGCTCGCAACGAAGCCGCTGTCAGTAACAGGATACTGTGTAGATGGAGCAGTGGTCTGATCCAGAATAGCAGTTCTTATTAACCTATCAGAAACCCAGAAATCCTTACTCCCCATCTTATGCTTTTCTTTGGAAAAGATCAAAACACCTAGGACATGTAGGGACCAAAGAGGGTCTTTAAAAAGAGGACTGGCCACTTGATTGAAAAAAAGAGAGAAACGGCTATTTTGTTGATCACAGCCATCTTCTTTGCCTTTCTTCAGCTCTGATTAGGGCCAGACAGCGTCTCCAAACAGCATCTCTTCCTCTCAGAAGTTTCAACAATAAATTCACTCCGAGTATGGGCCCATTTACGGTCACCACCAGGATGGCTGCAGTGACGTGTGTATTCAAGGGTGCTCATCTCCTGCACAAGAGAAACAGTTTGAGGTTATTGGTGTAGGCACAAAACCGCAGGAAAACAGGAATTTTCATAACAGATCAACCCAGAAACATGCACACAAGAGAAGTTGCTCATTCATTGTTGGTACGCAGGAAACCATGCGTGATAAGGTTTTCAGACACTGGTCTCTGGTTACGTGCTTATCGTAAGGGCAAGTTACCGTGGGTGTAGCTGCATGCTCACAATTGTCAGTACTGGCAGGGGAGGTCATTTGAACAACTGAGTATCAGATTTGCAGGTGCACTGGCCTAGCTGTCCGAGAGCAGCAACAAAGCTACAGGTGCACAAACGGAGGCTTGGTTAAAGCTGGGTGCAAATTTGCCCCAGGACATCTACAATAGCCCAGATTTGCTTTAATTAATTAATGGAGATAGCCTATCTCCTAGAACTGGAAGGGACCTTGAAAGGTCATCAAGTCCAGCCCCCTGCCTTCACTAGCAGGACCAAGTACTGATTTTGCCCCAGATTCCTAAGTGGCTCCCTCAAGGACTGAACTCATAACCCTGGGTTTAGCAAGCCAATGCTCAAACCACTGAGCTCCCCCCCTCCCCCACTTACACCTGTAAGTATCACTAGAAAATAAGGACATTGAGGTCAGCTCATTTTCCAACCCAAATATGAATCCCATCTCAATAGGGGAGAAAATAACCTTGCCCACTATGACACTGACCTACTTTCCTTTGTGAAGGCTGGTAGCTCTACAAGAAGGGAGGTCTTTTATGGCTTACATAAGCAGATCCTCAGCTAGTGTAAGTTATCCTAGCTCCATTAAGGTCGATGGAGCTGTGACAATTTACAGCAGGTGAGGATCTATCCCAAGAGGTCTTGGCAGGCTCCATCCACCCGGAACCCTCCCACTGAGTATCCAAGGGGTGCATAGTCGTTAGCTGGAATGTCAAAACTTTACTGAAGGTTTCAAGTGAAAGAGCAAGACTCTGATGGGTCTAACCTTCTCAATTTATTCATGGACCATTAAAAGAGCAGTCCTCTAACAGAACCTCTGGGCCCTGCACTGTTAGCCTTTTTCTTTATTGAAAGTGGACCATTTATTCCTATGCTCTTTGTTTCCTGTCTCTTAGCCAGTTACTGATACATTTCTTCTCACACTATGAATATTTAGTTTGTCTAAATAAACTATGTTTTCCCATTCTTTTTTGTCCACTATTTTGTAGATGTTTGTAAAGGATCCTAATAGATTAGTGAAGCACACTTTTCCCTTGCAGAAGTTGTGCTAGTTTCTCCCCAACATAACATGTTCCTCTAGATGATTTACTGTTCTGTTTTTAATTGTTTCAGCCAGTTTCCCTGTTAATGAAGTCAAACTCTCTGCTGTGCAATCCCCAGGATCACACCTAGTCCCCATTTTAAAGAGAGGCCCAACATTGCTACCCTCCAGTACAGCAGCGGATCTGAATGAGAGATTGCATGTCTGTGTCAGCAACTCAGCCATGTCATTCTCATACGTCCTCAGAACATTTGGGTGTAAACCAACCAGCTGGGCCTAGTGACTTCTTGCTACTGTAGTTATGAATTTTTCCAGTGTTTGCTTTTTTGGAACCTCAGTCCCTGACAGTGTCCCAGCTTTATCACCTGTGAAATGTAGCTCTGTGGTAGATATCTCCCCAACATCCTGCGTGGTGAAGACTCTCTGCAATGACCTTCTCCTCCTCTATGTCTCTCTTTATTCTCTGGTTATTCAGCAGACTCACCAGTTACCCTGAAGGCATCTAGCTTCTCATATACTGAAATAATATTTGTTACTTGCTTTTGATTCATAGTGGCAATTCATAGTCATTCATAATGGCAATGGATGGTTATTGGGTCAGGAAAGGAGTGTGCAGAATGACTCTATAGCCTGGTAATGTGGATGCTCACCTGGGAGACACAAGTTCAAATCCCTACTCCACTGGCTAGTTAATTATTTATACAAAGTAGAACAACTTCAACAGGAGAGACTGAGAGTCATCAACACCAGCATATCCCATAGTCCAATGGAGGGGCGGCATTCACCTACAATGTAGGAAGCCCAAGTTAAAGTCCTTTCTTCACATTAGGCAGGGGAGGGGGTCTCACAAATTCCAGAACTGTGCTCTAATCAAGAGGTTAAAAGGAGGACTCCTCCTCCTCCAGCCATTTTGTGACTTCAGTCCAAACAACTGAAATGTTTTGGAAATGTCGAAACAAGCTGTTCCGTTTCAACACCTCTGAAACATTTTGATTTTTCAGGTTGGTCGGCACTATTCAGTGGACGCTACATGAATTTGCAAATAGTCTTGGGTTGACGGAAACTACATTTTTCAGTGAATAAATTATTTACTGAAAAAACTTTGCCAAGAGCTACTCCTAGGGCCAAAGACTCGGCTGCTCCATGTCGACACTGCTGAGGACAGGGGGCGGTAAGACACCTTTTTTCCCTTGTAGGACGAAACTGTCCCCTAGGTAACTTAGACTAAGTCTCTAACGGCCAAATCTTGAGCTGGTGTAAATCAGTGCAGCTCCATTGACTTCACTAGAGCTATGCTGATTGACACCAGCAGAGGATCTGGCCCTAATGTAAGGGGGCTCTTGGCCCCTTACTAAAACTCAGTTGGGGGTTTTTGGTTGTCTAGCTCCCAGTACCAAAAGGAAGGGGAGGGGTCGATGGGAAATCCGGACCCTGAGACTGACAGTCCCTGGGGGAATGGGGAGAGGCCAAAGCTCCAGATCAGCCTGATTGACAGGGCAGGCAGGCTAATGAGGGAGTCAGGAAGCCAGGGAGGTCCCGTCCTCCGTGTGAGCTGGCATTGCCTGGGTCAGACAGAGTGGGGCCAAGCTAAGGAGAGAGCAGGGGCCCGAGCTGAGCTGGGGAGCAGAGCCGGGCCAGCCAGAGAGAACCGGAGAAGCAGCCCAGGAAGCAGATCGGTGCTGGGAGCAGAGCCACAGAAGCAACCCAGAGAGCAGACCTGTGCTGGGAGCAGAGCTGCAGCAACCAGAGCCAGAGGGGCCAGAGACACAGCCCAGGGAGCTTGAGGCAGAGTGGTGGAGCTGGGGCTGGAGCAGTCTGGAGCTGGGTGCGGTGAGCAGCTGGGCAGAGCGAGGGGGACCCTGGGCAGCAGGCCCAGCGCAGGGAAACGCCCCCAGACAAGACACACTGCAGGCCAGACTTGGAGGGGGATCATAACCCCGACATGGGGGGCTGATGCTGGGAAGAAGGTTCCTGCCACCTGGAGCCTGAGAGCGTGTGGCCATCGCCATAGCAAGTGTACGACCCGCAGCATCCCTGCAGCACAGCCAGGGCCTAAGAAGGAGGCCTGGGACTCAGGAGGAACAGACTGTGAACTGCCCTTACATTTCAAAAACAGCTGTTTGTGATGTCCCTGTGCCACAGAGCGGGGTTACGTGTGTTTTTTTTTAAAAAAAATAACCTTTAACCTTTCCCATTTTTTTCTATATTTTTAAAAATTGATTGCTGTTTAATAAATTGTATTTTCTTTAAACTACATGGAATGATCAGTGGGCCAGGGAAGCATCCAGTGCAGAGAGAGCACCCTGGAGTGGGGACACCCTAGCCCTGTCCTAAGTGACCATGACAAGTTTGGGAGTCGAGCCCCCCAGGAAACCTGGGCCCAGCCTTGTCAGGGTTACAAGGACTCTGCCACACAGGTGAGTGGAAGGGGAGCCCTCGAGGTCAGGAAGGGATCTGGGTAAAGGGAGTGGGAGCAAGGACTCAGATCCTTTCGCTTGCGCACTTCACTGGGGTAGTGTATAAGCCAGGAGAGTTCCCCGCAATAGCGGGCCTATTCCCCCGCTTACACTAAGATATGACAGATGGTCTGGTACCATAGGAGCTGTTCCATCAGTCCAGCAAGAGTGTTATGCACTCCAGCCCCACCGTCCCCTGGGATAAAGTGGAGCACACTCATCTCTGTCATTGTTTGGGAACAGAGTAAGACATCCTACACTCTACGACCCATGATAGCGTTCTTATTTTGGTGTTGAATTCAGGCAGTTGTATAATGAGGGAAAGCTTGACTAGGAGACAACAGACTTTTGTCTCAAAACCAGAGCCCACACAGAGCCAACGTATGCAGTGCAGGGTGTCCTGCTTTAGTAGTTAGCTCTCTGAGTGATGGTGTTTGGGGAGTTGGTGGGTCTTGCAGAGAAAACGAAGACCCAGCACACCGTGCTTGGGACTGAATGCAAGACTGTCTTGATTTCCTGTTTACACAGACTCATACCTCCTTGCTCTACACCCCTTAGTGATCGCTCTGATGTTCACAACTCACTCCACAGGTCTCAGAATGTAGAAGTGGGAATCTTCCTTATACCAGAATCCCATAACCTGAATGACATTTAATGAACAGCGCTGAAAAGCCCCCTAAATCCAGTCTGGGGATACAAATTCAGTCCCTAATAAGACTGTTAATTCTGTTGCTGACACCGCCAGTATCCCTATTTACAGTCCCACCTCTTACCTGGAGTAGCCATGGAGTCTAAGAAGACAACAGCAAAGTGTAGAGGAGCCTCATGGCTGAAGGTTGGCTAGGATCCCAGTGTAGCTGGAGAGCTAAGAAACAGAGTCAGAGTGAGATTATTATGTGATGAAGATAATAAGATTCTGCATTTATACAGGTTTCAGATTGGTAGCCGTGTTAGTCTGTATCAGCAAAAACAACGAGGAGTCCTTGTGGCACCTTAGAGACTAACAAATTTATTTGGGCATGAGCTTTTGTGGGCTAGAACCCACTTTATCAGATGGATGGAGTGAAAAATACAGTAGGCAGGTATATATATTACAGCACATGAAAAGATGGGAGTTGCCTTACCAAGTGGGGGGTCAGTGCTAACGAGGCCAATTCAGTTAAGATGGAAGTGGTCTATTCTCAACAGTTGACAAGAAGGGGTGAATATCAAGAGAGGGAAAATTACTTTTGTAGTGCTAACTACATTGGCCTCCTTAGCACTCTCTTGAGGACTCCTTGTTGGTTTTGCATTTATACAGAGTTTCCTGAGAGAGAGCAGGATATGGGGAGGAACATACATTAATTGAGCCATGCACACTGCTTGCTGCTCACACAGCCTTTGTTGTCACTCAGCCCCAGTGCATCTGCTCACGACAATACTCAGCTCCCGTGTACTTCATCTCTTTGTGTCACTGGCCCTCCCACTGTATTATTAGCCCTCTCATGTGGCATTTGCACAGTTCACCCAGCTCCAGAATACAGGCGTGTGCGAGGAATTCTCCCTTCTTCTTATCCAGCTCAGAAAGAATTTGACAACTTGCAAATTAGTTGCAAACAGGAAGACGTCAGCTGTGGGTCTAATGAATTAACAAGAGGGCAAAGTACATATTTGGAGCAGGTCCTGGGTTAGCGAGACCTGAGGTAGTTGCAGGGTCTAAGTATCAACGAGTGACAATTGACAGCCTAAGTAGAGACATCTCTTCTCCTCCTGTCCTCCTCTATAAGGGAGATGTTATAAGTGTGCGCTACTGCTTTGGCCGCTATCAATCCGAGAGACTCCCAATGAATTATGTCCAAGAGACAAAGGGAAGATCTAAACATTAATGCAAAACTTGGGTCGTCCTCTGGGCTTCTCCCCAGTGAGGCTCAACAGGGCAAAGCGTATCCAAAATTAAATATGCCCATTGTCTCCAGTTCTTTTTATTAGCATAGATACTTTGCTGTGGTTGGATCGCTCAAAAATAGGTGGATGTTCCTACTTAATATTTATGTTATTTATGCCTGGAGAGCTCAGTCAAGATTGGGCACCTTTAGGTGCTGTACCAACAAGAACTACATCTCTGCCTTGAAGACCTCACACTCCAAGAAGGCAAACAGCATATGAAGGGTTGTGGGAGAGGGAGATATTTGAATAAATACCCTGTTCCTAAAGTCAAGACTGAATGCCTTTCAGAAACTTACGTTGCAGCTCAATCAGAGGTTACAGGTTTGATTCACAAATTACTGGGTGATGTTCTCTGGCCTGCGTTATGCAGGAGGCCAGATTAGATGATCATAAGGGTCCCTTCTGACCTTAGAATCTATGAAGGTAAGCAGAGGTGCATTTTTTTTATCTTATTCTTTAGTTGTGTAATGCCAGAAAAGTAAAGCTGATGGGCTCATTGTCAAGTGTTATATTGTCAGTCATGGCCAGGGTTTTCAACGTGCTGGAAGAAATGGGGTTCACTGAAATAGTTATGGATTATGGGCCTCAGAATTGCTGAGAAACTCCACTCCCGTGGTAGTCAGTAGGAAAGGTGGGTACTAAATACAGGCTGCGAGTCCACAACTTTCCTAAGTGATTGATCTAGGGTAGTGGGGGAGAAGGCTGAGTTCTTGAGTGTCCAGCCTGGCACACCTGAAGGGCACCCACTCACTGAAGCACCCAAAATCCATGTCTGCTTAGAACAGACTGTGGCCTCAATACATTGGTGTGGGGCAGGTGGAGTCATTTGAGTCTGCATGGCAGGACATACGATCCAGGAGGCCATAGTGAAACTTAAACCTAATAAGGGGGATGGCTACAGGGAAGGCACCTACACAGTGTTGGCAGAGACGGCAGCCTATGAGTTGGATATTTAAGGCCCCATGAACCTGACATTTTCACATCTGGGGCTCCTCAGCTTGTAAAAATGCCTCGCAGCATCATAGATTCATAGATTTTAAGACCAGCAGGGGCCATTAACTCATCTGGTCTGATCTCCTGCATAACACAGGCCATTGCATTCCACCCAGTTACCCCCGTATTGAGCCCAGTAACTTGTGTTGGGGTAAAGCATAACATCCAGAAAGGCCTCCAGTCCTGATCTGAAGAGTCCCAGACATGGAGAATCCACCACTTCCCTTGGTAGTTTGTTCCAGTTGTTAATCACCCGCTTGTATCTTATTTCCAGTTTGAATTTGGCTGTAAACTTCCAACTGTTAGATCTTGTTCTGCCTTGCTCTGCTAGATGGGAGAGCCCTTTAGTATCTGGTATTTTCTCCCTGTGAAGGTAGTTATTCATTGTCATCCAGACTCTTTCTGATAAGCTAAACAGATTGAGCTCTTTACATCTCTCACAGAAAAGCATTTCCTAAAGCCCTTGAATTGTTTCTGTGGCTCTTCTCTACACCTTCTTCAGTTTTTCTGTAACCCTTCTGCCAGGTGCTGTTGACAGCAACAAGGGCTGGGTTGAATATCTAGGGGTGCCTCTTAACAATACAACACAGAACCAGGTTGGCTCCCCACCCAGTAATCCGGGAAAACTAAACATGTCCCCAGGGCACCTCTAAGAGGCAATACTTCCCCTCTCACAAGCATTGAGTCTGGGTATAACAAAAGAAAACGGTTATTAAAAGGGAGATGGAACTCAACATTCATTTGGAAACACACTGCAATGATTCAAAAGCATTTAAACCATAAGTAAACACCCCCCCCCCAGAGTACACTGGGCTGTGTCCTTCGCCTCAGTTTCCCACCTTGTGGCATGAAAGTCTGCAGAACAAATGTCCCTGTAACACACCACTCCCCTCTCCCTCCACCCCACTGCTGCTGCTGGCCGGTCCCCACTATCACTGCAATGCTGGGTTCTGAGGTTCCTCCTCTTAGCCCAGTTCTTAATGATTTCACTGGGTCATGGGGACCCTCACTACCACCCCAGCCTCTGCGTGGCTTTCACGACAATACCACCCCCACCGCAGATCTAAGGTTTAGCCTCTAGACCTCTATAGCAGCAATTTCAGCTTGAATAATCACTGAACGGAAACAAGGACTCTCAATAGAACCGAATCAATTCTCTCTTTAAAAAGTTAAATTGCACCTAGGACTCTTTACACACCAACCACACCACTAAATAGAAACACTTGCCCCCATCCCTTGTGACACGCAGAGGGATTGGGCATCTGTACCCGTTGATTAGCAAGTGAGGTTCAGTTCAGGGTGACCCCCCCAATCAGGGCATGCTAAGTACAGTTCTGCTGCCCTTTACTCATAGAAGAAGGATAACAACATTTCATTACCCCAGCATTCAATACCAAAGTGAATTATAACCCCAAACCAGCCAAGACTGGTCACTTTGGCAAAACAGCTGAAAACCTAGGCAGAGTAGGTGTGTCAATGCGAATACGGTCTGCTCCTGAAGTCCTTCCCCCTCTTCATCACTAGATGTCAGGGGAGAGCTCATTCAGCCCCTGCTTACATGTAATTCTGGACATCAGAACTGCACGCAGTCTCATCAATGTGGAGGTAACATCACCTGCCTGCTCCTACGCACTACTTCCCTGTGTATACATCCAAAGACAGCATTACCCTTTTTGCCACAGCATTGCCGTGGGAGCTGATGTTGAGCTGTTTGTCTGCTATGCCCTAAATCCTTTAGGATCACTGCTTTCCAGGATACAGTCCCCTGTTCTGTAGCTGTGGCCTGTGTTGTTTGTTGCTAGATACGTGACCTTGCATGTGGCTGTATTAAAATACATTTTGTTTGAAGGGGCCCAGCTTCCCAAGTGAGGGGTGTAGTTCCATTGACGTCAATGGAGTTGTGCTGATTTACACCAGCTGAGGAAGTGGGATCCGGATGGGAAGGAAGAGGGGGCCTGAAATGAGTGGAAGCCATTATCCTATAGTATCAATCCGTTTCTCTCCCCGTGGGTACCGTGATTTTTCTCGGGGAGGATTTGAACAGAACCTGATCGTGCAAGAAATTACAGGAGATAGAACTCCCCGATGCTCACATTCCTGCATGTACATTGGGAATTATTTTTGGGTTGGTGAGCATTATTGTCCTCCTAAAGGTTACACAGAGTCAGATCCTCGACTGATGTATGTTGGCACGGATCCACTGAAGTCCAATTTCTACCAGCTAAGGATCTGTCCCACAGCTTCCAATTCTGCTTGATGGACACCAGACGAGGTCCATATCTGAGAGAAAAAGGTGCAACTGTCTTACCAGACGCTTAGGTCGGCAGCATTTCTGCCTTCCATTCCTGCAGGTCCCCAGCTCCACTTCATCCCGGCCATCGATCTTCGTGCATTTTGCTTTACAGTAACCATCACGTCTGATGCAAGACTGGGTGTCTGGAAACCTCCGGTGTCCTACAAAAGGGAAAGAGTATCTAATTTCCAAAGGATGGTACAGCACTTAGGGTCTATTATGTTTCACCTATCACCTATTACTAGTTGTGTTAATATTGCCCTGTGTTTGCTTGCTAGGAATGTGTTGTATGTGCTATTGAACAAAAAGAATGTTTGTTAAATTACAACCACAAGCTCAAATTGTCTCTCAGTATATTGCAATTAAACAATTGTATAAAATATGACCCACTCAAGAATTGTTCTTGAGGGGTTAAAACGGGGACATGTAGTAGTAGGATTTTATGTTTGTATTTTGTATAATTTAAACTAAAAAATGAAGAATAATAAAATAATAATGTAGCATGTATTAAATGTATTGATGTATGATTTGACCATATCACGCCAGACACCCTTTTTGAGTAGCAGAAAGGAATGGCCTAATGTGCCATTGGTAGAGATGCATCAGCCAGAATTTCTTTGTGTCTGGACTGATTTCAAGGCAGTAACAGACCTTTGCGGGTCACCAGTTTGTTGTAGGCTTAGCATTTTAAAATAAGTAGAAGAATGCCGTGATTGTTTTTCTTTTGCATTGCAATTTGATGTTCCTGTTCAAAATGTTCTGTATGAATCAATTCTGTTTTGTGTGTGAATGAGGAATGTGTGTTAAGAGATAAGTGTGAAGGCCATCACTGAACCAGATGGTCTAGGGCAGTGGGTCTCAAACTTTTTTACTGGTGACTCCTTTCACACAGCAAGCCTGTGAGTGCGACCCCCCTAAACACACTTTTAAATATATTTAACACCATTATAAATGCTGCAGGCGAAGCGGGGTTTGGGGTGGAGGCTGACAGCTCGCGACCCCCCATGTAATAACCTTGCGACCCCCTGAGGGGTCCTAACCCCCAGTTTGAGAATTCCTGGTCCAGGGAGAAACCGGAGACAGACGCAAGGGTGCCAAGAGGCTGCAACATGCCCCTATTGAAATGTCAGAGGTGAGTAGATTGATGACTCTAAAAATGAGACAGGCACCTATCAATGGGGACGAGATCGCTGTGATCAAAACCAGCATGGGGTAACTCCCTGAGAGACTTAATAAAAGAACAAAATAAAAAAAAAAACAATTTAAAAAAACAAGCACTCGTCAAACAACAATTAATTACAGCATGACGGTGCAAAACTCAATGAAGGAAAATGACTATATAAACAGGGTGCCTTGCCATGAAACTTTGGGTTTGTCCTGCCAAGACTTCCCCGGAGCATCGTGTCATGCCCAACGGAACCCGGCTTCTCCCTACCCGTGATCAACCTAGCTGGCCAGTAGATTGATCCGGACTCTAGACTGGTAACTATAACATCGACTGGCAGGACAGTGTGTGTGTGTGTTTGAATGCATATGCTAATTGTTGTATCTTCAGTAAATGCAGCATATTGCCTTTTCCCCTGAAAAAGATCCCGTGTGCTTCTAATAAGCATAACACAGTCCCCTACGTGTTTCAGTCTTACCTGCGGTCGCCAGGGAGACCAAGAAGAGAACAGCAAACAGAATGTAAAGGATCTCCATGGCCAAAGGTGTGGCTGGCCCGTCAGAGGTACCGAGATAGATTGAGTGTGCAATTGTTCGAATGGCATATGTGAGAAGTCCCTGTATTTATAGAAAGTCCCCTACCAGAGAGCAGAGCACAAGGGGAGGAGCATAAATTAGTCACTCCCCAAATACAGGTGGTTGGCTTCTCAACCCCCTTTCAGGTCACTCTGACCCACTGGATCCACTCTCAATAATATGCACTTCCTGATTATTCAGCATTCATGTCTCTCTGTCTCTTTTTTTTTTTTTGGCCCTTCCACATTGCCATTATGTTTCTCCCATGAAATATGCACAATCCACTCCGCCCCAGCAGCTGGACAAGATGGGGTGAAATTCTCCCTCCTTCAGATCCGGCTCAGAGGGGATGTGACAAGTAGCAAGTTGGTTCCCAATTCAACAAAACGCTGTCAGGCGTATGTATAATGAACAACGTTGTAAAATAACAATAGGTGTGTCGAGAGTTTTGCCAGTTTAACGATACCTGCATGCAAGGGGATGCAGTATGGCTAACCTCAAGAGACCAAAAACCGTGAGTCAGATCCTCAAAAATCAAGAGATTGACTCCCCCCAAATAACCAGATGTGTTTAGAAAGGTGTTTTGGGCTACCTCTGCCTTTTGATTTTTGAACTCCCGGGCCCATCCTTAGTGTAGGTGTGTGGCAGAGCTGCCCATTCTCCCAAATTTACTGGGTTAGGCAATTCTGGCCCCTGCTGCAGAAGCTCTCACCTCACATTTACCTGTCCCCTGCCCAGCAATTAATTCTGCCCCCAGACATCCAAACCAATCCTGTCTCCGCAGCCCCTGCATCAGTTTAGCACCTTCTAAGGCCCCAGCCCCCATCAGTTTTGCCCCCCTGCTCGATAGCTCCCTCCTCCCCCTTTCTCATCCTGTGAGATCAGCGTCACATTACTGAGAAGAGGGGAGAAAGATCTCTTCTTACAGCAGCTCTGATTGGTTGTTCTGCTCCAGGAGGCAGGGCAGTGGGGCGGGCAGCCAATGAGAGAGGGGTTTTCCCCACAGGCTGGGCTTAAATTCCTGTGAGGGCTGGAGCATCTGGCATCATCATCAGCCTGGCCTCAGCCCGTGCCGAGAGCCTCTTAATTAGGGGGAAAAAAATGACAAGAGTTGGCAACACTAGGGGTGTTTACCTCACCCACCCACACCGGCAGAGAAAGAGTTAACTGGAGCTAGAGAGCAATTAGTGACCCAGTTACACCTGGAGGGTGGGTGAGACCCAATTTAGGATTAGGCCCAGCTGGAGAGGAGCTGGGTGACTAATGAAGGAAGGACTGATTCCAGAGCAGGAGAAGGGAGGCAGGAGGCTAGGCCTGGCCTTGGGATCCTCTCCCAAGAAGGGAGCTTTGGAAAAGGACCAGGAGAGGTGTTGGGAAAGGGCAAGAGTGGAGTAAACTACTGTGGTGACTCTTGACAAACAGGCCAGAAGCCCGGGAGGCAGCTCTGGGGTTGGGGCTTTCAGGGAGATGGTTGCACACACAAAGAGCCTGGGAAGAAGCAGACAAGGAGCTGGGGCTCCAAGGAGAAGGCCCTGGGAGATGTTGCTCTGTGGAAGAGCAGGCAAGAACTCTGCAGAGACCGGGAAGGGGCAAAGAGCCTCTGGAGGAGGGAGCCCAGAAGGGGGCCGCTGGAGAAAAGGACCTAGAGACTGGGTATGAAGTAGTCCAGGGAGGCAGCAGACATTAGCTGCTTGCCCACAGGGTCCTGGACTAGAACCAAGCATAGAGAGAGGGCCTGGGTCCCCCTACCAGCCACTGAGGAAGGTTGTGTGAGGACAAGGGGTGTAAGGACACAGAGCCCAGAGTCAGGCCAAAGACCTGATGTAAGCTTATTGGATTGTTGTTTTATGGGACTGCACATGACCTGACTGGAGAACTGAGCCATGAGAAGAAGCAGAACATCGCAGGGCTGGAATGGCTGTCAGCCGGGGACATTAGAGGACGAGAGCATGGGACACCATGTCCAGCCACCAGGGGGTACACCAGCTGGTGAGTCACTCTTCTACCCTGTATAAAAGTTTTTAGATGTAGTTATATGGGTATAAAAGGTGCTTATGCCAGTATAACCAATCCTGGTTCGGGAATGAAAATAAGCATTACTAGTATAAGGTACCTTTGTATGATTGCATCCATATTAAGGGTTGTACTGGTATTACTAGATCAGTTAAAAAAAAATCACATCCCATACCGACATAGTTATACTGGAATAACTTTTCAAGTTTAAATCAGCAGAATTGCTGAATCAGAGAGACTTAAGACCCTTCTAACATTATTAAGAGCACGGTCTTGCTGTGATTCATGGGATCACATTATGGGGCCAGAGAAGAAGGATGGTACAGTGGTTAGAGCTGTCGCCAGGGCCTCAGGAGACTCAAGCTCAGTTCCCTGCTCTGCCTTCAACTTCCTGTATGACTTTCAACAAGTCATCTAGTCTCTCTCTGCCTCAGTTCCCTACCTGCCAGAGGTGTTGTGAGGATAAATACATTAAAAATAATGAGATGTGAGGCAGTCAGATACTATGTTGATTTGGGCCATATAAATACTGGAGATGGAAATTATGCATTTTTGGTGAGTATTTGCAGTGTTGCCATAAGTACTGAAAAAAGGACTTAAGTGTAAGTGCCAACTGCACCATGACAGCAGAACTTTTAAGTACAAGTATACTGTGGAAATAGTACTTAAGTATTTATAAGTGCACATACGAGTATAAGCAGAAGTACTTTCAGCTCCTGTATTCCCTGCAATTGTCTGGTCAATATATGGACAACAATCTAAATAATATCAGCACTGAGCGGAAGAGAAAGAAAAAGAGCAACAATGCGATTTTATTCATATACACAAATAAACATAGAATAGCAATGAAAAAAAATCTCGTAAATGTAAATACATTTATAAATTTTCTTTCCAATGTGTGTGTAATGTATAGATAACATATCATTCCATGAAATGGGCATTTTCCTTCAATAACAGCATAATCTCCAACATTTCCTCCTGAAGACGGGATGTGATTGTTTCAAATAACAATTATGAAAAAATAAAAGTTAAAATAGTTACTTATGCTTGAAAATGTACCTAAATACATGCACTAAGTACAGAATATTTAAAGTATTGAAATACAAGTATGTAAAGTGAATTGTAAGTATGTGCATTGCAAGTACAAATGTACTTAAGTACATGGGGACCCTGAGTATTTGGAAAACTACTGGGCCTAGGTGGAAATCTGTGAATTACAAACATTTCATGAAGTTTATCAGGATGATTATTCATCTGGAAATTCAAATTGGAAAGTGCATTACTCTTCTAGATAAAATGCGCTTCAGTTCTCCAGTCAGGAAGTAGAAACAACATCATGTGATTTAGGTGACCAATCAGACAAGATAAATAGCAAATAGTGAATAATTAAAGTTATCCGTTTGCGAATGTAACACTCCCTCACTCACCCCGGAGGAGGGAGGCCTGTCCGCCTCACTACAATGAACAATTCACATCCTGAAATGTATTCATCCAAACCATTTGGCAAACACCTATGAATGACAAACACATGGGAAGGACATCAGGATTGGTTAGTGATTGATTCAGTAAGCCCAGGCTTCTCCAGCTTTTCATAGCCGGGGCCACATCTTAAGGAAGAAATTTGTCTTGTGGACACCTGCCCTCCCATTTGCAATCACATAACATCCTTGTGGCACCTGCAGCGACTGAAGCAGAGATGCTCCTTGGGAAGCAGGTGGAGTTGGGTGAGATGCCTGGAAGAAGGGATTGCCCTGGGTGCTGTTTGACCATCTTGTTGCAGGCTAGTGTATATGTGCAAACAAAACAAATTACACTCTGAATATATCCAGACTCCTCATCACTGATATCTCCTCCACGGGGAAACCAAACTGCAAGGCTCTGGTCACCTGCTACCACTTGGCAGAGGGGTGATATGGGTGTCAGAATGGGACATAGGGGTTGGAAGAAGGGTCAGCAGTACAAATGTGATTCAGCCTGATGTAGACCTGTTTGCTTGTTGTCTATGCTGCATCTCTGGGGCCATGATATCTTTCCTGAAGGGGCAATTGTGGACACAGCATTCTAGAGACTAAAGGAATTTTACTGAAGACTTCTAGGGGCTAGAATTACATACATCTCCCTGTAATTTGCACATCAGTGACCACATTTTCAAATGGGCCCTCCAAAATTAATACCCCCACCAGTGTTGAGCACCTGTACGTTTTTGTGCACATAAACTCTGGGTCTGCACATACAAAAGAGCAATTGTGTATGTAACTTTCTTTGTTTTCTGCATTTAGTTACCATGTTTGCACATGCACAAATGTCTGCTGACACCAGTTTATGTGTGGGTAACAAAGTTTTGGAGGCTACCTTTGAAATGTTGACCCCCTTAGTCAGTGGTTTTCAAACTTTTTTTCTGGTGACCCAGTTGAAGAAAATTGTTGATGCTTGCGACCCAACGGAACTGGGGATGAGGGGTTTGGGGTGTGGGAGGGGCTCAGGGCTGGAGCAGAGGGTTGGAGTGCAAGGGTAAGAGCTGCAGCATGGGGCTGGAATGAGGGGTTCACGGAGTGGGAGGGGGCTCTGGGCTGGGGTAGGGGGTTGGGGTGTGGGAGGGGGTCAGGGCTCTGGGCTGGGGATGCAGGCTCTGGGGTGGGGCCAGCAATGAGGGTGTTGGGGTGCAGGAAGGGGCTCGGGTTTGGGGAGGCTCAGGGCTGGGGCAGGGGATTGGGGCACAGGGTTGGGGTGTGGGCTTACCTCCGGCGGTTCCCAGTCAGCAGCACAGCTGGGGTGCAGAGGCAGGCTTCCCGCCTGTCCTGGCACCTCAGACCGCGCTGAGCCCCAGAAGCGGCCAGCAGCAGGTCTCGCTCCTAGGCGGAGGCGCACAAGCAGCTCCACGTGGCTCTTGCCCGCAGGCACTTCCCCCCAGCTCCCATTGGCTGGTTCCCGGGCAATGGGAGTGCGGA